CATTCAGGAAGATTCACCAACAACTGCAGCAGCTCTGCCTCCTCCACCTCTCACATCTCCCAGGCTCCCTCTGCTTTATATTCCTCTAAAGCTAACAGTGAATCTCTGCACTGCTCCAAACAAGAAGGAGAAGTTTTTGTGGCAGATCTCTGGGGAGCAATCAGCTGGAGCAGGAGCTACAAGTAGTTTATTGTAAGTATGGACAAACTGACTGCCAATGCCTGGGTCTGTCAGCTGTGCCAAAATTTGTCAGCTGTGCTGAGATTCTGTCAGCTGCTCATAGACAAATAGCAAAAAAAAAAAAAAAAAATCTGCTTGACCCAGCCCAGCATATTCATAGGCACCAAACACATGGAGCATTTCAAACATATCCTGTTGAGTGAATCTGAGCTGTCACCTCACTTACACTTCTGCAAAATTCCAGAAAGGAACATCTCATCTAAAACAAGTCTGCAAAGTGCCAACACATTGGACATGAATATTTAAGGTATTATCCAGTTTCTGCAGTGTCAAGATATTGAGAAACATTTGCCAGGCTGAATGCATGACCCAAATTTGAAATGTGGCGCTTGCTTTCCTCGCACGCAGCGTTGTAGCAGAGCACAGCACAATCTTTATTTTGTTTCAGAGCTGAAACACAGCAATTGTCTTAYATGCAACAGCCTGAGGCAGCTGCTTCCTTTGGAAGAGATTTGCCCAGCATTAATCCCTGGCTTTACACGCTGTGAAGAATACAAACAGGAGGGGAAGCTGCTGTCCCCTGTAATCCCCACAGATCCCTGCACTGCTGTGGCTCTGGCTGTGCAGACACAGACTGCCACAATGCCACCAAGAGAGATGTCACCCTGCCATCGATCCTGGCACATTGTCACATTGTCCCATTGGCACCCCAGAAACACCCCAGAAACACCCAGAACAGCCCTGGAAAGAGGAGTTACATTTAGGAGTTACATTTACCCAACTCCATCCTGCTCTCCCTTCCTTTGAAAGGATGCTGCAGAGGAGGGAGTGCTGAGTCTGCAAAACTCCATTCATCCTTCAGTGATTTAAACAATTCAGACATCCTTGGAAATTGTGGAAAAAATATAATAGTGCTTAGAGAACTATCAGCTATAATAAAATCAGTTCCAAGTTCCAAGTCCATAATTTGTGGCATAGCTCAGCACTTGGGTATTTCCCAAACACAAAAATTTGTGTTTTAGCAACAGTAAAAGAAACTAAATTAGATTATAAAATATTATAATCTTGTATTAGGTATTAAAAAAAAAAAAATCTTCCATTTCTTAAAGCAATGACTACTGCAATGTGCATTCTAGTGGGATTGAAAAATCACACAAAATAGACCAGACCAGAATCTTATCTATTCTWAATTTTCTTTTTTGGACATTCTACATACATTTTCCAAATTCTCTSTTCCAGACAGTCTGGACTGTTAAAAAATGGGATGTGCAATGCCAGAGTATTATTTACTGAAGCCTTCTTTACACTGAAGTGGCCACGTTATGGTGTTATCACAAAACCACGTGCTACTGAGCAACTTCTGAAATCACAGAAGTGGGAAAAAATCCATTGCAGGACAATGTTTGGTCTCTGGTGCAGAGCAATGACATCACTGCAAAGGTCTCATTAAAGCTGTGTTAATCAGGGGATGCACCCCAAGGTCAAGGACTCATCACCCCATTTCTGACAGCATTCCTCATCAGCTGGATCCAGTGAACATGAGGAATTATAGAATTATAGAATGCTTCAATCACAGGGCTGCATCTTTGCAAACTCACTSAATATCTCCATGCAAATCAGCCAATACAAATGTGAGAAGAGACAAAGAGCGTTGTCTCTT